AGCTAGACCGGAGCATGAACATTGGTGTAGATGAGAACCCTCCGCACACAGAATCCAGGACCAATAAACACCTCGGGAACAGTAATGGGAGTAGCAATATCATGAGACTAAGGAGAAGGTAGGGGGAGAAATGGGGTACTGATCAAAATCATCAACATCTAACACCGCCCCATAAGGGGATGGACAGAAGCGTGGGTGAAGAGAGACAGTGGACTCTAAGATATGAAAATAATTTATCATTTATCAATGGTTCATGAGGGTGGGAGGGAGGGGCAGGGAGGGATAAAAGGTGAGCTGATCCAGGAGTGCAAGTAGAAAGAAAATGTTTTGAAAATGATGATGGCAACATATGCACAAATGTGCTAGATACAATTGACGAATGGATTGTTATAAGAGCTGTAAGAGCCCCCAATAAAATTATGAAAAAGAAAAGAATGTCAATTAATTTTCATTAGCCTTTACTCATCACTGAAATGTTCTAACCAATGATACCAGTCACAGGCCAGAGTCATGTTTATCCGGTGACCTCTTTCAGGTATTTGATCTTTCATAGGTGAACATGAATATTAAATGTTAATTCTTTTTATAAAAAAAGATCCAGGGCTTTTACTGTCCTTTAGAATGTTTTACTTTTCTTCTTGAACATCATTTCCCCACTGATTTGTAAAGGGCAAGAAGAAATAATTTTGGCTTAAGGAGCCCTGATAGTGTAGTGGTTATGCGTTGGGTTGCTAACTCCAAGGTCAGCAGTTCAAAACCAGCAGATGCTCCTGGGGAGAGAGACAGGGCTTTCCCTTAAGGAGTTACAGTCTCTGAAACTCAGAGAGGCAGGTCTACCTTACCCTATACTGTGGCTATGAGCCGGCAGACTCTATGGAAGAGGGAATTTTGGTTCCTTTCAATGTTATAGGAGCCCTGGTGGCATAAGCTTTTAAGAGTTGTGCTACTAACCTCAAGGTCAGCAGTTTCAACCTACCAGCCGCTCTGCTTAAGAAAGAGGAAGCTTTTTGCTCTGGGAAAGATGTGCGCCTGGGAAACCCACGGGGATGCTTCTAGTCTGTGAAATTTACTCAATGGTAGTGAGGTGTGTGTGTGTGTGTGTGTGTGTGTGAATGTTGTGTGCCTTCGAACAATGAAAAAGAGTTTATCTCTATACAGGTAAATAAAACATGGTAATTTCTAGGAATTTCTCGGAGTGGGGTGGCTTCAGACTCCTGGAGATGTTTACTACAATTTGTCATTGTGGAGCCCTTAAGACTACATCTCCCAGCGTGCATCGCGTTTGCCAGGAAGTCTACGTTCTCTATCATTGGGCGAGGCCTCGTAACCCGGAGCGCAATGCACCCCGGGATTATAGTTTTTCGGTAGATTCGTCCCGTACAACGGTTGGGTAAGCCAACGCCGGAAGTGCCCGCCCTAAGAAGGTGGAGCCCGAACGGTGGCGGCGGCGGTTGCCAGGAGCCCGCGTTGCCGCCAGAGACCCGTAATATGGCGGGGAGGAGGAGGAGAAGGCGGCGGTGGACCGAACTGTGCTCTGTCAGTACCACTTGAGCCTTGCGGACGAGGCCCGAAGTGAGGGGAGGAAAACCGACGGGAGTGTGAGGAAGCACACCAAGGTGTGTGTGTGTGTGTGACCCTCAGCGGGGCGGGGCGGAGGGGCGACCCGCGAGGCGGAACTGGCACCCTCGGGGGCTGAGGGCAGGTGCGGGGCTCCCGGGCCGCGAGCCCAGCCGGGGGGTCCGGCCGTGCAGGCTGCAGCTCGGGAGCAGGACCGGCGGCCCCGGGCGCGCAGGTGATGCTCGGGTGCTGCCACCGCCTGGTGGGCCTTTGGGAGCTCAGCGGAGGAGCTGGGCGAGATGGGTGGGTGTGGAGGGGGCTGGGCTGCGGGCAGAAGCCCCGGGTAGATCCACGCCACCCTCCGCAGCCCGGCGCCCGAGAGCCACCTCCTGTCAACGAGACTGCGGGGGCCGAGTCTTTTCCGTGGGCGCTGGGGGAGGAGGGCCCCCAGGGGGTGCTGGCCATTTTTGAACGCGGTCATCACCGCCCAAGGCCCGAGGAGCGAGTGCTATTGACTATGCCTTTGCGACTCTCGGGCCCGGAGCAGGAGGGTAATAAAACAGCTAAATTTCAAGATTGACCTGATCCTGCGAGGGGGTTCCCGCCCGTTGGTTTTCTGATCTGGTTGTTGTAGGTCCACACACCCCATTCAGGCATGAGGACTGGCTCCTGGACCTGGATTTGATGGTCTGGAAACAGAAACGAGAAAGCTGTTGTCGCCCTCTGCACGGTTTTTAAGTGACATTTGAATCTGCCCAGGAACCAAAAACAGCCCCCCTGCCCCCATTTCTTAAAGCTTTCTGATACCCTGCACTGTGCGAATTGCCCTACATTGACGGGTCTCGTTGAATTTTCACAAAGTTCCATTTGAGAGAGACTCCGATGATCCTATTTACAAATGAGGAAACTGAGGGGCCTGGGGATGGTAAGTGACTTGTAGAGAGTAGGTACCTGAACGAGAAACCTCCTCCTATTGTCACCTGGATGTGCGACACCCGATACCTTCTCAGTTCCTCTTGGGAACGGGTGGGTGGGGATAAACCCCGACTTGGACCCTATTGGATGGGTCTCCCAAGGGAGAACTGGGGCGAGGCGCCTTATCCCATATGAGGTTACTAATCCGTGATCACAAGTGTTTGCCATCGACAAACGCTCAGGAAATCTAGTTTGTACCCACTTTAGCGAGACAGGGGTTTTATTAGTCGATTGTGCTAAATTGGATGCCCAAGCCTCACAGGACAAAATGGGCTACGGGGCCCAACCACAGTTCAGGAGCATTATATATTCCCTAGTTCGTGAGCCCCTCCCCTGGTACCTCACTGGCTGAGTACTATGGGGTTAACAATCGTTACTGGCTGTTGCCGACTTCCTTAATTTAAAGTTTCTACCTCTGGGGAGCCCTGGTGGTGTAATGGTTGGATTGGGTTGGGATCAGCATGGTGGGCAGTTTGAAACCACAGGGGCTTTTGTGTGCCCATAAGCAATTGCAGTCTCCGAAAGGACGGGGTCGCTGTGAGTCAGTATTGACGCTGGCAGTGAGTGAGTGAGATCTCTGGGGAATCTTCCCCTGCCTTGATTAATCCAATTCACTTGATATCATTCCCCACATCAGCTATTAGCTTGTGCTCTGGCTCCTTAGTAAGTTGGCTTTTTATTCCCTTCATTGCTGAAGGTGAAGCAGTTTGGGATTTATTTCTCCTAACAAGACAGTCAAAGGACTCATGGATGGGTAGGCAACCAGCTAGGATGTGAAAAACAAGGCCGCCTGTGCTTGTTCCTTCTGCCATTCTCCACTCCTATTCGAGACACTTCCGGTGTAGTACTGATGAGGAGCGGAGGGTGGAGTCCCGAGTCTATGGGGTTTGCCAAGAAGCTCTCCTGGAGAAGGGTCAGTAGCCCTTGTGTGGTATAAAGAGAGAAGACAAGGCCTGTCTGAACTTGTTGCAGCTGACAAATTATTCACTGAAATGGACCAGTAATGCCTGATGCTAAAGTATAGGCCAGTAGATTGTGGTTGGGTGGCCTTGGAGTCAAACACGCTCTTAAAATAAAACTTGGCTGACAGTGGTAATTGTGGTGTGAGAAACATTGTGCCCTCCTGCTTAATCATATGGGGAAGGCCTGCTCGCTTTTTAAATGGTTACCTTTTAGTTTAGAGGTAGCATGAAATAGGGTCAAACATGCAACTGTTGTTAGGTACCATCCAGTCAGCTCCGACTCATAGCGAACCCATGCATCACAGAAGGAAGCCCTACCCAGTCTTGCACCGTGCACACAATCACACAATCGCTCTTCTATTTCAGTGTTGCAGCCAGTGTCAGTCCATCCATCCTGTTTTGTGTTACCCCTCTACTTTATCAAGCATGATGTCCTTCTCCAGGGACTGATCTCTCCTGATAACATGTCCAAAGTACCCTGAGATAAAGCCTCACCATCCTCATTTCTAAGGAGCATTTTGGTTATGCCTCTTCCAAGACAGATTTATACTTTCAATTTTAGTATATGTGCTGCCGAAGCGAGCACCAGATTTATACTTTCAATATTCTTCTCCAGCACCATAATTCAAATGCATCGATTCTTTTTTAGTCTTATTCACTGTCCAACTTCCACATGCATATTAGGCAATTGAAAATACCATGACTTGGGGCAGACACACCTTAGTCCTCAAAGTAACATCCTTGCTTTTCAGAATTTTAAAGAGGCCTTGTGCAGCAGATTTACCTACTGCAGTTTGATCTCTTGACTGCTGCTTCCATGAGCATTGACAATGCATCCAAGCAACATGAAAACCTTGACAACTTCAATCTTTTCTCCATTTATCATGATGTTACCTGTTGGTGCAGTTGTGAGCATTTTGTTTTCTTTTACTGAGTTGTAGTCCATACTGAAGGCTTGCAGTTCTTGATTGCCTTCAGGAAGGGCTTCAAGCCCTCATTTTCAGCAAGCAAGGTTGTGTCATCTGCATGTTGCGGGTTGTTAATAGAATAGCCTTCCTTCAAACCTGATGCTGGCTTTTTCATATAGTCCTGCTTCTCTGATTATTTGCTCAGCATACAGATTGAGCAACCCTGAGGCACACCCTTTTCCCCTTTAAACCAGGCAGTAGTCCCTTGTTCTTTCTGCAGTTATGCAGATAGAGCAAGGGATCCACATACAGGTTCCCTGTGAGCACAATGAATTCCCATTCCATGGTAATACTGTCTTGAAATTCCCTTCCTCTTCCCTCTTCACTGTTGCTTTTATTTTTTCGTTCCTGTCTCTTGACTCACCTTATTATGTGAGCCAATTTTCCCACTTTATTTACTCCATCTTCTATTTAGTCAGAGTCAGTGGTGAACAAGACTGAGGGTGCACCTCTGCTTGTGGAGCTAATATTTGGGTGGAGGAAGTGAGACAAAAACCCCAGGAAAAAATCAGGATAATTTCAGATGGTGGTGTGTGCTGTGGAACCTGAGAAAGAGCAGGGCTATGTGACAGTGACTGAGGGACTCACTCAGAAAGGGATGGCCTCTCTGAGGAGGTGAGAGCCGCATGGGGGCTGAAGCCACCAGTCACGCTCTAGGGTCATTGGGTAGTTTCTATAATCTCTAAATTTGTACCTTTATTTGACTGTTTAATAGATGGCTGTATGCTGTTAATTATGCTATGATAATAGTATGTTACTATGTCAACACACGTGTAATATATTATTATCGCTTAAGGGACATGGATCTAACTTTCTAAAGCAATGAAGTATATTTATATGATGCTGTTAAGTGAGAATAAACCATTACTATGAAGTATTTAATTTCTTTTAATTTCCTCATTCTTTAAAATAGAATTACATGCTTTGCTTGAGTTTATAAAAGATTATATTAATTATATGGAGAATCTGTTTAAGTTCCCTAGTGGCTCAGTGTTTATGCACTTGGCTGTTAACCTCGAGACTGGTGGTTCAAACCCACCAGCTGGCCTGTGGGAGAAAGATGCTTCTTTGAAGATTTGCTGTCTTGGAAACCCTGTGGAGCCATTCTATTCTGTCCTATAGGGTCACTATGAGTTAGAATCAATTTAACTACATTGACTGTGTTAAAAATATTTTAGCAAAAATGGGATCATTTGAATTACTGTCACATCTTTGTAGGTGGTGCATAATTTTGGTTGTTAAGGTATCTTAACATGGGTTTTAATCTAGACAAATACAATAAGATAACTTGTTTTGGTTTTCACCTTTTTAAAAAATAGTTTTATTGGCACATAATCCACATATCATATAATACTTTTTGTTTTTTGAGCATAAAGTTGCAAAATAATCTCATTCATACTCTAGGGAACCATTCATTTTAAATTTAAATGCTATTTTGCATAAAATGAACATATAAATAATTGCAATAGATGGGATGATAGGAAGACGTTTTGGTGTCCATGGGACTACTAGAGGGTGAAAGTTTGCAATGCATCTTATTTTTTTAGAATTTTATCATATTTCTGAATATGCTTTTTCTTCATTTCTAATTGAGCTGTAATTTATCCCTGCCACTATAGTGTAACTCAAAGTGCCTTGAAGCCTAAGACAAAATCAGATTTTAATTGTTATACATTCCATATCATGAAGTATACATTCCATATCATGCCTTCTCTCTTTCTTTTGTTAGCTTGCTGTTTTTAAAGAATACTATTGTATTATGTTTTCTGGTTTACATACCTTTGCTAGCTATGATTTAGATATTTTCTTATTTGAAAGAAACAGTACCACACATGTAATGCTATGCAAATAGGCAATAAGTATTTAATGCTTGCTAGACATGAGTTTGGTTTTGGTTTGAGACAAATGATTATGGTGGCTGATCCTTCCGGGTTCCCTGTATTTTCAGTACCAACGTCATTGCTTCCTAGGTATTGTGAAATTTGTGGGCTTTTTGTTTCTGATGGTTTGCCCGTGTTCTTACTTGTCAACAACGTACATCTACTCATCACTTGTCATTTTGCACTTATTTCTATAGTAAAAACTCTCTCACTGTTTTGTGTTCAATGACCTATGTATGGCAGTAACAAACATTGAGTGGTTAAGGTGATGTGTCAGTCTGCCTGGATCATGATCCTCAGTTGTGATTATGTAACGGTCAGTAATGAAGGAATACAGCAGTTAAGTAATGAGGTAATCCGCTTCCATTTTTGTGATCTAATGTGATCATTCTCCATTTTAACAATGCTAATTTGTGTATAACCACGTGCCTTTGAAACCTAACCATGTCAATGAATGAGAAGTGGGTATAATTTAAAAGTTGTTTCAGTTAGGAATAAAAAAGTGAAGGTGAGCCACACACGAGTGAAGTCTGGTGAATCCCCTCTGAGCACAGAGGTGAAGAGCTTGGCTGTCAGACAGAGTGCATTGGAGAGTGGATTACGGCAGATGCAGTTAGGTTAAAATTTAACATTTTATCATTTCATCTCCCTTTTGACCTATTTTGAAGTTCTAATTTTTAATATTTTCTGCTTGATTGAAGTTTTTCTCTATTTTAGCTTGTTAGTGTTGTTAGCTTTCTTGTTTCTTTGTTTTTGTATGTTTTTCACTATGTGAAATCCAGGATGGGCGACTCTTTAGACAGTAACTAGACTGATGGTTTCCTAAGGGTGTGGCAAGGGAGGCTGGGGTGTGGGGGTGGGGGTATGGGGTGCTAATAAAAGGGGGTACAAGAAAGAAGAAAATGTTCTAAAATTGAGTGTGGTAATGATTATACAATTCTTCTTGATTTGTTTGATCTATTGAACTGTATGATATGTAGATTATGTGCAAGTAAAACTGTTTAGAAACAAAAGGCGAGAGCCTTGGGAGCAAGAGCAGGAGAGCCCCCACTTTATTGCTAACCAAGGGTTATCTCTCCTTAGGGGGACATGATTACAGGTAACCACACGTCACAGGAAGGGGCAGTACAATAAGCATACACATTGTAGGAAGGGGATGTATGATAGGCATAAGCGTAACAGGAAGGGGATGAGATAGGGGTGTGCCCATAGGAATGGGAAGGTCTGCTTGCTCTAGATGGCTACTCCTGATGACCTCCAAGTATATAGTCATTCGCAAGCAGCTAAGTTTGGCATATATTTGGGGGAAACAACTTGGGAGAAATCCTTTTATTTCCCACAGGCTTTGTTTACCTTCAAGCCTTTAAGACCCCAGACACTATAGCATTTGATAGTCGAGCACCATCACCTTTCTTTGCCACATTTGCTTATGCACCCGTTTGTCTTTAGCGATTGTATCATGGAGGTGAGCACACAGTGATATGATTTTTTGTTCTTTGATGCCTGATAACTGATCCTTTTGGCACCTCGTGATCACACAGGCTGGTGTGCTTCTTCCATGTGGGCTTTGTTGCTTCTGATGGCTGCTTGTTTACTTTCAATCCTTTAAGACCCCAGACACTATATCTTTTGATAGTCGGGCACCATCAGCTTTCTTCACCACTTTTGCTTATTTACCTGCTTTGTCTTCAGCCATTGTGTTGGGAAGGTGAGCATCATAGAATGCTAATTTAATAGAAGAAAGTATTTAATAGAAGAAAGTATTCTTTAATAGAAGAAAGTATTCTTGAGGGAGTGGAGGCCCAATGTCCTTCTGCTACCTTAATACTAAACCTATAAATCTATGCACATATATAAATATATTTTCATATGTACATGCCTTTATCTAGACCTCTATAAATGCCCTTTGCCTCCCAGATCTTTCCTCTATTTCCCTTGACTTTCCTCCTGTCCTACTATCATGCTCAGTCCCTACCAGGGTTTCAGCAGTTCCTCTGTGTTACATTACCCTTGATCATGCCCTACCAGGCCTCCCACACCCACCTCCCCACCAATTTGGATCATTTGTTGTTCCCTTGTCCCTGGGTTTGTTAACACCACTTCCTTTCCCTCTACCTCCCCATCTCCAATGTCTCCACGGAACAGTCGGTCCCGTTGTTTTCTCCTCCAGATTTAGACAGACCTGCAGAGATAATAATATGCACTAAAACAAGACAGAGCAAAACCAAGCAACAATATACAACAAAACAACAACAACAACAAACCAATGACAGAAAAAGCAAAACAAAACACAACAAGAAAGAAAAGCTTGTAGTTCAAGGATTGTTTGTTGACCTTTAGGAGTGTTTTCCAGTCCAGTCTGTTGGGGCACCATGCCCTGGCCCCAAAGTCCACCTTTAACATTCCCTAGGGACCTCGTTGCTCCATTTTCTTGTTCTGTTGCACGCCCTTAGTGTTTTGCCTCGGTGTGGCAGGATCAGATCGGGTGCATTTCCCACACTGTCTCTGGTGTTGTCCCCTGTAGGGCCATGGGTCAGTGAGGGGCGTCATGTCTCATAGTGGGGCTGGCAATGTGGTCCTCTTTGTGGACTGGCTGTTCTAATTGGGATCGTCGTCCTCAAGGCGTGGTAGAAGGTTTTATTTTACTGTTATGTTCCTAATACTTTTCTAAGCTAATAATCTTCAAAATCAGATTTAAATCACAGTGCTCAGAACTAGCTTAACAGATTACCTGGGTCTTTAGGTACTTTCTTATTCCCAAGAATTAGCTCCTAATCAGTGAAACAATTTAAAGAATTGAGAATTTGAGGACTATTTCAGTGCTTTATAAGATGGCCAAATAATTAAGATCTGTTTTGCTCAGCACATTAAAAAAAAATTCCCTCTTGTAGTGTGATTGTGGGAAAATGGAGGAATATGAGAAGTTCTGCGAGAAAAGTCTCGCCACAATCCAGGAAGCGTCACTATCCAGGGAGAACTTTTTACCTGCACAATCTGAAAGCATCTCGCTAATTCGCTTTCACGGAGTGGCTGTCCTTTCTCCACTGGTGAGTAAAGCGTTTGCTTTTCTGATAATTGATGTGGAACACATTATTTGAAGTGTCGATTGAAGCCCCACTTTTTCTTTCCCTCCGAGGCCTTTGAGGAGTCTTGGATGCATAGTGGATTATGCGTTGGTCTACTACCCCAGCCGCTCCGAAGGAGGAAGACAGGCTTTGTACTCCCATAAAGAGTTACTGTCTCAGCAGCCCCAGGGGCAGTTCTACCCTGTCCTGTAGGATCTGCATGAGTCAGAATTGACTTGATGACAGCGAGATGGGTTTTGGAAGTAGCCTTTGTTTTTCATGTGTACCACGTGTGTTTTAGTTTAAAGGCTATAGCATGACAGTGAAAGTTTGACCAGAGTTCTGGAGGCATGCTGAGGCTCAAACCGCAGTCTCCCTCCCAGCCTCATTCTCCCCGTCTGTCACTGTGGCACCACCTGGACGGAATTCTCAGAATGGGAACTGCTTAGTAGAGTGACTGACCCACATTAAACATACCAGCGATGCTGGAAACATCTGGTAAAGGCTTTTTGGTCTAGGCCAGTTAGGATTGTCTTCTTAATCAGAGCAAGTTGTAAAATTTAGCAACTGTTAATTTAGATATGAGTAAAATCTCTTAAAATAAAGTTTTTTTAATAAACTAGAAAAAGATAGCAGTAAACATAAACGAAGAGCTAATTTTCTT